ATTGATTTAAGAATAAGATTGTCGGACATATCTAAGGCTGCTGTTATTTTATTTTCCATAGTTGAGGAATTTTGGATATAGCAGTTCATTGGTCTCAACAATGTGTTGCTGCTTCCAAAATATGATGTGTTTGATCTAGTATTCTTGAAGTCATACTTAAAAATGCATCACAACTTCGTGCAGTGTGTAAATATACAGTATAGCAACATCTTGCCATCTTTGTGTACATTATTGATGTGGTCATAAAGTGCACCTCTTGATTTTGTTAGAAATTTCTTTATTGAAGATGACGAGGGTTCCATATCTATTGACTTTTGAGTATATATCAAATCACCATCATCCAATAAGATTGCAATCTTGTTATTGGTAGAAAAAATCTCATGTTTATTTTTCAAATCCGAGCCAACAACCTAACTAACGAGAGCTAGGTCGTTGGAGCCAACAACCTAACTAATGAGAGTCAAAATTATGAACGATTCGTTTCTCTCTATTGTTGAGTCGTGGCTGGGATGATGACAACAACAACTGCACTTTCACTGAAGTCTTCATTGTTGATCTCAATCGAGTGTGTCACACTCTAACGTTCTTATGTACCTTGTCATCAAACGATACGACGAGATGAGAAAAGCAATACAAAGTCGTCCGAACGGTTGAATTGTTGGAAGAGCTCTAACTAGAAAAACACAACTAGTTGAAAGTTGCTTCCAAAAGCGTATGATGACTTTCTTGGAGTAGGAGCGGAAATAGAAGAAAGTAAAAAATGAGCATCATTTATCAACCAAAATTATCAACGAGCGTAAATAGAATCAAAGATTAACAATATACGTGGAAGCATACTCGAACTAGTTGACGAGTACATACTACACTCGAACACTAGCCCGAAAGCGAAGTTGTTTGTCATGAAAATGAAAGTTGATTATTATTGTTACTTTACCAAATTCAAAAACGGAGATGAGATGATGGAAGAGTTTGATAATGCTTTGTCTACATAGAGCTCCGCTAGAGATCTTGCACTGATCGAACTATAACTAGCCCATCTTCATCGAACTGTCACCATCCCATCATCATTGACTAAAATTTTCTCTGAATTTCTTGATTTTCTACTACAAGATCAAAAATTTACTCGAAGTGACAATCAACGAGGCCGCAAAAGCTTCGAAAACTGCAATCAACAAGATGCATGAATTAGGAGAGTATACTTGTTAAAAAAACATCAGATTGATGCAAAATTTGCAAAGTAATCTGACCTAATTCCAAGATACACATGAAGAGATCAAACTACTTCAAGGTTATTGCGTCAAAGTGAGACATAGTGTGCCGCTTTTATTCTCATAGAATACAGATTTTTAGTTCGGTTACAACACTCTATTTGAACCCGACGCGAACTAGAATTTTTGGGTTTTACTGGAACCAGATTGGAACCCTAGGTTAAATTGACTACCATAGTATCATTTCTTGCACATATCTAGAATTTAATTCTAAAAAAAAAAAAAAAACATATGACGATAATTTCAACAATATTTTTCTTAGTCTCAATGGAGTGTTATCTGTTAATCTTGAGAGTAATGTGTCTAACGCCAAGATATCTTCATCCATAGAAAATTACAAGAGCACTAGGTTCGCGTTGAAGGAAAAGTTATAAGACATGTGGTGCATGAAGCATCTATCCATGAATCAAGTGCTTTCAAAATCTCGATGCATGCATTGTGTAAGGGGTTATCGGTGCAAGGATTGCTTCGCTCAAAATATAATTGGTATTTAAACACTTGTAAACTATATTTGAGAAAATTTTCTTTGCCAAGTTCATTCATTCCGTGGGTCGATTTGATGGCGTAGAACCATTACTTCAAGAAGTGGCCCAACTTCTCGTAGATCAAGATATGAAGGGAATTGCACAAATTTTAAGTAGCTCCTTCAACTCCGTAAAACAAACACAACAATTTAAGTCTGGAATTAATAATACATATGCCTCCACTGTTAATCAATTTGTAATTAATTAACAGTGCTAATTAACGTTACTTAGAGTTGTAATCAATTTGTAATCCAATTTCTACCTCCAAATTCACAAGTGTTGCCCAAGCACCTGAACGATATCCGATCGATAGCTGGCGTGATGAAATTTCTGATCCTCGGCAGTGTAGCATGAGCCTTCAGATCAGCAGGTGACAGTCCTCGTCGCTCTTCTTTCACTCCACAGAAGGCTGAGCGATGGACACTTTCACTGCTCCGAAGAAATTTGAGAGATAGACGTAAATCTGAGTTCGTCGGAGGTGTTCGTCGACCTTGCTGCTGCTGGAGTCCCTCATATGATCGCTGACATGAATGCTTTGGGCTTTACTATCATCCGTATCAATGTGGACTCACTCTCGCGGCCACGAGACACGCTGCCCAGAAAAAACGACCCCCCAAACTATCATCAGAAGGTCAGAATCGAGCGCTGGTAACAATTTAGTGAAACCCCGCCTGCTTCCATTTAGTATACACGACTGTTGTGAGACAGGCGATGACTATGACTATGACTATGACTACTGATCGGATTTTGGTTTTTGGACTCGCAAAGGGACTCACTCAATTTTCCGGAGAATTCTGTAAATGAAATGCCAGATTGTTCACAATCTGCATCCGACTGCTCCCACGAGATAAGTGATTCACAGCGCGGGGTTGATCTGCAGCTGCTCGGAAAGCAAGAGCATGGGATTACAACTCTAAGTATTGAAGTTGCAAGCTCTGAAAGGCTAACATTGCAGAAAGGCGTCCAATATTGCTCTGCACAGTCTTCATGTGATCATCGACACGAGCTTGGTACTTTTGTTGAAGCGAAAAGCTAAAGCAAAGTCCATTTTAACCTCTACAGAATATCTGGAGCTCCAAACTCACGAATACCTCTCAGTCCTCAATCCTCCGAGTCTGTGACAGAAGCGTGTGTTGCGAAACTGCAAGAAAGTCGATGATTATTTCGAAAGCAGGAAGAGTAAATGGAAACGAAGAGCTCGGGGAAGATACGAAAGAGGAACACATCATCGGCACCTCCGATGGATTGGGTGTACACAGATGGAGTGAAATAAACCTTTTCACAAGCTGGATTGCAGCTCACTCGTGTAACTAAGACGGAGCACATCAACAATCCAGACATTAACTTCAGAGCTCAATGCACGACATTCGAGCAGGACTGATTGATTGTACTTCAAAGCTGCTGTTGCTGCTGCTGCTGCCAAATCTCCGATGAGTAGGAACTCGGTAGGCAGCAAGACACAGCATAAGTGGAGGACCATGTTGAGGTCGAGAGATCGATCCCATGCTGTGTGTGCGGCTATGTGTTGACCTCGCGACAAATTTCATGACAGTCTCAATGGCATCACCGAGCTGTACGTGGCAGTCGCTGCCAATGTGTTGTCACGGACTGTGCGGAAAGGAGTCCGGGATAAACACAAGGCTCGATTGTCCCGAGGTTGGGCTTGCCGAGATCCCCAAAAAGATCGCTGGCGTTAGTAATAATGGATGCACTGTATGATCGACAGTGTGCTCCGACGCAGATCTTTCACTGTATCGGTGCCTTTGTGCCTCCTCGGGTTTCGAGCAATTGTCGTCTTCCGGCGTCGGGCGATGCTTTCTGGGCCAGTCGGGGCAGTGCAGGAATTGTCATGCTCACACGAGAAGAAGACACACATGCGCGCAGATCGTACGAGACGCACAACTTTGTCTTTAATTTAACAATTGTGGCCTTAATTCGAGAGCAGCCGGACAGATCTTCCTCGCACATTTCATTATGAGAGAAAAGCATCCCCACAGCTTTTCCGCCCAAGGTTGCGACTGGAATCCCAGCGCGCGGCGGGCGGGAGGTCCGACTTCGAAGCTTCCTCAAATAGCACACATCGAGCTCGAGCTCGAGCTCGGCAGAGGACAGCAGGACGCATGCAGCTGTCGGACGGACCTGCACTGCGCTGCTGAATCTCGACACTCATGGCGCGACGTTAACGGTGACACATTTGCCAGTGGGTCCTGCCACTGATACTCTACAATATTATGGGCCCTCCAGAGAGCATGGAATGTGAATTCTCCGCCTGCACTTTCTCATCGAGAAATATAGAGCGACTTGGCATCCACAAAGGTGGCGCTACAATTCGGGCTCAGATCTTCTCCCCTTTCTACGAGGAGTGTGTGCGTTAGGAGGGATGAGAAGAATGTGCACTGATGAACAACAAGAAGACCATCGATGGCCTTTGCATATCCATTTATCTCTGCCCATATCTTTTGGCCTTCAATCAATCTTCAATTGGTAATGTACGTGTCTCCTTAATGTATGACGAGGAGAAGGTGTTTCAAGGTTTGCTCGGACTTCAAAGCTTTTTCTCAAAAGTGATGAATTGCACGAGGCCAACTTTAGGCTCTAAAGCCTATCATTCTACCTGCAATTCGACCGTATTAATCACAACCAAAATTTTGTGAAGTCTGGAACCACCTCTTACTTTGGCTCCTGCTGCGCATATACTGGACACCCAGAACATTCACACGCAGGAAACTTCTCCTTTGAAAGGTAAAATACATAAGAGCTATTAATGGTTGCTGGACGTGACGGTGAATAACACACCACATATACTTTCATGTCTTCGTCGGTACATTTCTCGGCCCTGTTTAACTCAATTCAATAATTGGATATCAAAATATCGTTAAAGTGTTGTTGAAATAAATTTATGCTAAGATTATTCTTTACAAGAAAACTAATTACAACCTGAAAAAATTATTAAAATATTCAGTTAAGGTCGTTTCGAATATATTTTTTAGGTTTTTTTATTTATAAAAACTAGTTATAATTCAATGTATATAAAATATTGATACTAAATAATTATAAACCATTCATCAGATTATTCGGATTTATCATTTAAAATAATGTTATCTCATGTATATATTCATATGATAACTTTTTTAAAGTTGATCATATTAAAGAAAAATTTCGAATTGTATAGTATTATTTTTAATGACATCCATTTCAATTGAAAACTGGAAATTTTAGTTCGAATATAGTTTGAGATATAGTTGTAATATGCTTCCTTTACCATCTTCAAATGGACGTATTTATTTCCACATTTATGCAAAACAGTCTACGTTAATTATTGAATATTGTAATGCCAACGAAATGCAAATCATGTTTTCCGTCGCATGACATGGATTCGAGAAGGAACAGTCGAATGGAACCAAAAACTTACTCCAAGGCCCGAATTGCGCACCGTCGCGAATTCGGATGGACGAGCGAGCTTCGGACGCCAAGCTCATTTTCCTCGTGCTCGTACTACCGAGTGCTACTACTACTACTCCAGGAGCAGATTCGGGCCCAACGACGGATTTGGGCCTCTGAGCCTGATCATGGATGGTCCTCGGTCGAAGGTTTTCCTGCTGTCCTTTCCACCAAATCCTTCATCCGCTCGTCGAGCCCGCACGTAATCGAGTAAGGCCTGCCACAAACTCAAGTGGCCAGGGGACGGAGGGCATCTCAAAACTGCATCGATCCGACTCGTGTCTGTGGGTGAGGGAGGCTACCGATCCACAGACACAATCGCTTGCCTTCGACCTGAAGTTTGCGCAATTACACAGAGAACTAGCACGGAAACGCTTATCGTGTGCAGAAATGCAACAGAGGATGGTCTTTTGAGGGATCCCGATAGAGGCTCCACGAGAAGGCGATCCAGGGGTTTAGGGTCGGAACGCAGATCCCCCATCGATCTCAGCTTCGACCTTCAGAATCTGCAGCTGCTGTTGGTGTCACTGCTCGGAATTGCACCGCCTTCATCTCGCTTTACAGGGACCCCGAACTACAGCAAACCCTGCTGCTGCTGCTGATGATGATGATGAAGAATTTGCCCAGCTGTATCGAGAACCAAGGAGACGCTGTCTGTTCGGCCACGAGGTGACAGACAGCATCCTGAGAGAGCTCCAGCGCTTGCACCAACTTGCGAAGAACCTCCAGCTAGAGAGAGAGAGAGCGAGCGAGCGACCAGAAGCTGGAGATTGGGAGGTGGAACAACAACAACAGCGAGGAATTGGCAGCTCAGGGGCGCGATCCGATCCAATCCGAAGCATGGAGGGCGAGAGGATAAGTGGGAGCGCGCGCAAAAGGAGCTGCAGAGTCCGAGGAATGAATTGGGCTTTAAAATATGGCAGAAGAGAGCAAGGGCGAACGGGATCACGTGGGGTCGACCAACGACCGCGAAACAAAACCCGGTCAAAAGCACTGCGTCGTCCTGTGTACGCTGCATGGGCTCGATGGGCCGCGATTTCTCAACATCCGGTCACGCCCATCTCATCCGCTGTACCACGTCTGCGGCTGCTGCTGCTGCTGCATCCCGACCCCTCCTTCGCCGGCCGGCCGTGTCAGAGCTCAGAGCTCAGGACAGTCGTGCGCTGGGCACTGCCTCCTCCTCCTGCTCCTGCTAGCGCTGGCCGGCGGCAGGCACGGCGCCATCTCGAAGAATTTGCTGTACAGCGGCGAGAGAGAATCCAGCGATGGCGATGGCGCTTCTTCTGATCCGCTTCGCTTCGCTTCCCCTCGGATCTTCTCTCTCCCGACGAGAATCGCCATCGCCAGAGCCAGAGCCAAGTTTCGGGGACCCCTGGCTAAACCCCTGGCTACGACTGGTCGCGGCCTTTCTCCTGCGACGACCAGTTTGGCCATAACTCTTTCTCGTTAACGACGACGGGCGACGGACGATGGGGAATTATGAGGCGCACCCTGTACGACGACGGACGGTGAATGAGGCCCATAAATGGAGTAGATTTGATCGTCGGGCAGCGAGAGCGTTAGCCTTTAAAGCCCGGCCTTGAAAGCGGTATATCATCCATCCGTCCATCCATCCATCCGTGACAGAGGAGGATGAATTCGACGACGCTCGACGAGACCACCGGTGAAGGCCTACGGAGCCTTCGGCTGCTGCCCCAGGGGGTGGAGGTTGGGGTTGGGGCAGAGGTGAATCATGGCAGGCAATGAACGAGTTTAGGGGGCTGGGGTTGGGGTTGGGGCAGAGGGGGACTTTTGCAAAGGTACGGAGAATGTGCATAGGGAGCTACGGTGCTACGGTGAGCGACGGACACTGGGCACCGGGAATAGTTGAAGCGCAGGGGGGGGGCGGGGGGGCGTCAGGACATTGAATGATGTACAAGACCGTTACGTGAAGCTCACATGGACCACACATACTCGAGGCGCAACATGCATTATTGGGCTCCGGCGAGGCGGGTATCTATCGCAGCGTCGTCGGCTTACGACAGCTTCCACTCATCACTCTCATTCATGGCCCCAATATTTTATCGAATCCATTATCGTACGAGCCCCTCCCCCTCCCTCCCTCTCTCTCTCTCTCTCTGTGCCTCAGCCTCGAGAGGTTGCGGTTTTCGGGATCGCTTACGGGCCGTCTCGGGCAACCGCGATCCACCAACGACGACTCGACTCGATCGAGTCCTTGCCTACCGCGTAGCGCCAGGCTCCGAGAGTTGGCAGGCATGACGATCGGCGCTCGTACGCGCGCGCGAGCGAGAGAGAGAGAGAGAGAGAGAGAGAGATCGGCGCGAAGCAGTTAGAAAAGCAGAATGCTGGGCGACACAATTCGCTCATGGCTGCATGTGGCGAGGCGACCGGGGGAAGGCATGGAGGACGATCGATCGATCGATCGGGCGGACGGGGACGCACGGAGGTCGACGACTCGATGGCGTCCGGGAGGATCAGGCCACTTGCACCGATCGGGCCCGAGGCGAGGACGTAACGACTCGACCACGGCAGCGGGGAGGGGGGGCGAGTTTCTTCATCGTCGTCTGCAGAAGCCGGGTCCTCGTGTAAAAGGACATGATTGGATTGGATTCGCCTGTCCGTATGTCTGGTGCGTGACTCGGAGTGCGAGGCTGGTGACACGGCCATTGGCTACGCAGCGCTACTCTCATATACTAAAGGTACCTGGCTGCACGTGAAGATGCATGCCTTGTAATCTGTACTCTCGGGTGTACCTGAGCACCACCGGTACAGGACAGTGCAGGGCCGTGGTTGGCGTCTGCGTCTGCGTCTCTGTCTCTGAGCCTTTTGCGAGGAGTCGTCTTCTCTGCTGCACCTGCGCCTGCCTCTGACTGCCTGCCTGCCTGCACCTGCTCCGTGGACGCGCTCTCTGCTGGAGATTCCAGCCTGCTGCTGCTGCTGCTCTTCCTGCTTCCCACTCTGTGAATGACGACTTAACGATCCCTCCCGTCCTCGCCTCTTCAGTCGTCGTTTTGATTGAGCAGCTTCATGCTGCTCGCTCTTTCGAATCGGCTCAAGACGATGTCGATGTACACCCTTTCCAAGGGGCCTGCCTTCCCTGCGCAGACAAGTACTTAATACTCGTACTTACGCAACGCAGTGATTGATTCCGCGCGAGGCCTTCGCTTCAACGCTTTGCAGATTCGATGCCTCGTGTTCGATCAGTCGTTCGCTCGTTAAGAAATCTGCAACATTTCTCATGATGGCCTCCGGACATGCAGAAGTTTCTGGAAGGTACGACGGTGACTTGCCGTACATACCCACACCGTGAGAGGATCTGCCACCCTCGAGGTATCTTTCCTCTACCCGCCGAGTGAGAAACAACGAGCTTTGCTTACAGACAGAGCGCTGGAAATCTTATAAACCCTTCCCCCCATGGCCAAGTTACCGAGCTGCAGGCCGAAATGAACACTATTGAATGCTAACGGCCTCGATCAAAGTGCCATGCCGTTCCCAAAAGAGTTCGCCGTACAGACGAGTCAGACTGCTGATGAAAAAGCTTTGCCTTCACCGAGATCTGTGACTTAGATCCTCGGTAACAACCCACTTCCTTTCCAGGTTGCCGAAGAGACGTGCATTAGTTATGGCAGACATCGTTGCGCTGACACAAAGGAAGTGTACATGGCTTCCAGGCCTCACTCACATGTTTTGACAGTGAGAGAGGGAGGACTCTGTGTGTCTTTGGGTGAGTGCGTGAGTGTGTGTGTGTGTGGGCGGCAAGAAATGGATCTCTTCACCTGAAGGAGAAAAAAAGTACACGGCCGTTGCTTCAATGCAAGGATGAGGCAGCAATTAATGAGATGAGAGCTGCTTAGTGCTTCCTTAAGGAACTACTTTAACAATACAGTACAAAGAGGAAACTCTAAGCAAAGCCATGACTACCAGATATTAACAGATGGAGTCATGGTCACCCACTCTTTGGTGAAAGTGACTCAATTTTATAAGTCCCATCGAACTACATTCCTAAGAGTGTCGAGTGCGTGCCTTTTCATCATGCAACACCAAGCAAACCCCCATTCACCAGGCAAGCTTGTCGCCAATATTCGGACGGGATGTGCGAAATCTTCAACAATATCCGTCTCCAGTCACGATTCTCTCTCTCCATACACGCCCAGAGGCGGAAACTTCCAGAGTCCGTTTGGATCCCATATCCGCATACTCAGTTGATGCAAGATCCAAACGCTTCTCTTCAGGGCATGCCAGTCAGACATTCTCCATTCATAAAGAGGGGTTTTACCTTAAGACAAATATTGGATTGATGCTTCATTGAAGGAGCCTGTACATGCAGCTCAAAAAGATGCAACTGCTGACTTGATCTACCGCCAAGCTTGTTGCTTAAACCCACTGCTTCTATACAGATCCCATCCGCCATCAGGTTCCTTCCGTTTCGGTAGCTGGGCGCCCACGGACCCTGCGGTAGGGGACACTCTGTAGGAACGTAGCTGTTCCAACGACACCTGGCCCGACAACATCGATGTTTCGTGTCTATGTCTCATGTTCATCCCGTCGTCTCGACCTCCATCCGCATCTGCAGCTTCCGGGCCTGCGTTCAAGTCGAGGCTCGGTCGAGCTCCCCAGCCTCCGCTCCCCCCACTGCTGTCGGAAGGACCCATATCGGCAATGTTGGGAATTAAAAACGGAGGTCGGGCAAACGATGATGGAACGACTCCGGATGATGCGACTGGAAATGACGACGATCCTGGAGGCTCCATGTACGGGGCGGCATTGTTGGCTGCAAAGCTTGCCGCTGAGGTGAATCCGAAACCTGAAGGAAGAGGGAATGTTCCATACGGGTACGATTGCGTGCTCGAAGGAAAAGCTACACCAGACGCCGATGGAAGACCTGCCGTTCCTCTGTACATATCGCTGCTGAACGGGGCGGGGCCTTGGCCTGCACTCAGGTAAGACTGGGCAGCAGCAGCGGCAGCGACGGAGTAGGTTGGATCCCTGTTGGAAAACGCAGGGATTGCCACTGCAGGATACGCTGTGTTTGCAAACCAAGGCGCAGCAACATTCACGACTTCAGCACCTCTTCTCAGACCAGGCCCCGGCGCTGGCACTGCTATGAACGGTGCAGTGGTCAGGCGAGGACCACCTCTCAAGGAAGACATCACTGGTTGCTCGTCTACCACTGGTTCCTCAACTGAAGGGCCATCATTCAGATCGAAGTCGCGCATCACGCGACAATTAACCTGCGAGGACGAGCTGTTATTACTCCTCGTCGAGGAACCCATGGCTTCAGGCAGCATCGGATCCGTCTCCAACAGAGTACCACTCTCCTCACTCTCGTCTATCAAATTCAAGTCCAAAATGGGCCGTGCCCCGAAGTTTCCACCCATCTGAGCTTGAGGACCAGAAGTGGACTGTTCGCTGTGATATGTAATACCGGAGATGGACATCGAAGGTACGGGCGCGGCCTGCGAGCTCATACCCACAGCAGAGCCTTGCGATGACATGGTCGTCGTCGTGGTTGGGGCTGACATCCCAACTTCCTCGAAACCTCTGTCATCAGCGATGTTCAAATCGATGTTCAGAGGAGGACGGACTTTTTTAACTACTTCCATCTGCTGCACGGGTTCGGGGACAATGATTTCCGGCTGTCGCTCTGGCGTCCTCCTTGGCTCCGCAGGCCGGAAGGCACTGGTTGCTGCAGAACCTTTCCACCCGAGCTCGGATTTGGTGCGCATGGGGCTAGCAGGCAGCACAAACGGACCCTTGGTGGCGGTCACGATGGCAATTGGAGCCGCTGCGCCGTTGGCCTGTAAGGTTGCACTCGAGGAGAGTGCGGCCACTACTGCCACAGGCGCTATGGGCGACGTGGTAGAATCATCCTGAGGACTTTCCTCCACCGAAAATCCTTCATTCAAGTCAAAATCCGGTCGTTCTGAGACATCGCTCCCACCTACTGCACCGTCGTTCGGTCCAGTCGTTTCTGTTGCTTGCTCTGGAGTCGTGGGTTCGCCTGCAGGCAAACTACGAGGAGAAGGTTTCACGACGTTTTGAACATTAACAGTGGTCGAGGTCAATGTCGGCAAATTCGGGATAGACAACATCTGAGAAGAGTGGAAGGACGGAACTCGTATAGGAGCACGCCCATCGATAGCTCTCCTTTTGTGCTCCTGTCCTCCCTCAAGTGCACTCTCTCCGCCACCATCTTGTCCAGAATTCGCCAGCTTCCTGTCTCCACTACCGCCACCACATCTCGCTTGATCATCGTCGGCTTCTCCGATCGCCGTAGAACGCACACTGCCTTCGTCCATTCTCTCGGCAACCGAATCGTGGTTATCTTCTAAATACGGGCCGCTTCTCTTGCGAGAATCATCGTCCTTTACTTTCTCGATGCTGCTGTGAGGCTTCCACCTGTGTTCCCGACCTGTATCAGAAAAACCACTATCTCGAGGATCCGACGACTTGAATCCAGGAGAGTTAACATCCTGGCCTTCCTTGTCTCCTCCTGACATAACCCCAGACTTACTGTCCTTCCATCTCTCCATCTGCTCTACTTCCTTTGCCGCTTGACGAGCTACTTCGAGCACCTCCTCCTCCGGAAAGCTCGTGCACATGTCGGAGACTTTGTGCCCATCGTTATCATTTCCCCTCCTTCCAAAAGACTGCCCTCCACTTTCGACAGAGCTCTTCATCTCTTCATCCTTCTCACTGCTGTCTTTGAAATCGTGTCCGCCGCTACCATAGGCCACGTTAAGTTCGATTCCGGACAAGCTGCTCTTACCAAGAGCAGAGGACTTCTTCTCGTCGTGAGAGTCCTTCTTGCCAGAACTGACAACACCATGACCGTCTTGATTACATCCTAAACCGTCTGCTCCACTCAAGGCGGATGGGTTGCCATCGCTGCTGTAAGGAAGCGGTTCGCAAGGAGCGAGAGCCGCCTTCGAGCCACTCTCGTCCATGTGCCTTTCCTCACCTTTCCGATCGAGTGAAGTTTTCGTATTCCCTGATGCATCCAAAACTCGCCCCGGTTCCTGAACGGAAAAATGCCTCTTCTCAACGTCCTCCGTATCGCCCTCAGCGCTACCGGACGTGCTCTCCTGAAGAGCTTCCTCGTTGGAGGCCGCGTCGCCAGCTTTGCCTCCATTGGAATCGGCATTATGCTCCACCCCCGAGTCGTCCCTGTTCTTCGAAGGATTGACGGTGGACGAGACGGGAGCACCCGCCACTTCCGAGGAATCTTTCCCGTCCCCGTCTTCATTCCCCGTGAGCTGCTGCTGATGCTGATGCTGATGCTGCTGCTGCTGCTGCTGCTGCTGCTTGTCGCCAGCTTCCTTCAGCAGCGACGCGCCACCGTCGGACGACAGCCTCGCGCCGTGATCTTGCTCGCCATTGCAATCGTCGGCTTGACTCCTCTCGAGGGAGGACGAGGAGCTTGGCACGCCTCGATTGATTTCGCTAGCAGCTACGCTGGCCAACAAACTAATGCCCTGATCGTCGACCTCCATGGCCGTGGCCCCGGACGCGGAGGCATCGGCGGTCGGGGCTCCTGGCGCTTGGCTCGATGCCGCCTCGCCCTTCTTCACGTCCTCGGCCTCCATGGCGCCACCGCGGGGCGCAAATCCGCCGCTGCCCCCGTTGGCATCCGGGGCTTCCTTGGACGATCTGTCCGCCTCGTCGCCCCGCTTCTCGCTTTCGCCCGGGGGCTCGCTTGGGGCAGAGCCGGGGTAATTGTCGCGGTCGTCGTCCGCGACGGAACCCATGCGCAGCCCCTCGGCGCAGCCGTCCGCGGTCGCACCGGCGGACTGGTTGCCGTTTTGCAGCCGGCTTTTGGCGTCGGAGCAGTCCCCGTTGGGCGGGGCGCTTCGCTCCGGCACGCTCGGCGATAAGCCCCGGCTGACAGGAGTGCTAAGATCGAACGAGCCGCTGTTCATGCGAGCGGGGCTGCGGCCTGGGTTGGGTATTCGGACGATGAGCCGGTGCTGCGAGCCACCGGGGCTGTCGCGGGCTCCTCCATCGCTGCCACCGTCGCGGCCCTTCTCCGGGGCCGCGACGGTGGAGGTCGCGCTTTTGTCCGTCGCGCTGCGGCTCCAAATCAGGGGCTTACCCCCGAGGTGATCCTTCTGCGCGCCCGAGGCCACGCCCAGCAGCCCCTTGCCCGGCAGGCTCGGGTGGCGCGCGACCGAGCCCGCGGGCTTGGAGCTCACGGCCCCCAACAGCGACGAGGATTTCGAGTCCTCCTTCCAAGCCGAGCTCGCGCCGCCCTTGCCTCCAGGCGCGACGCCGGCCCACATCTGGCCGTTGCTCTGCGACTGCGACTGCGAGCTCGTGCTCTTCTCGTCCTTGACGGCGAGCCCGCCCGCCGGCGCGTCGGCGGGCGCGCTCCCGGTGGAGAGCTTGGCGCCGGCGTCCTCCTTCTTCACGACGGCCGGCGAGGCGCTGCTGGGCTTGGAGGAGGGCGCAAAGGGCGAGGCGCTGGGCTTGGCCATGCCGTCGGCGAACCCGCTGGCGCCAACGCCGTTGGGCATGGCCTTGGCGCTGCCGGCCGAGGCGCCCGAGCTCTTGACGGCGACCTCGGTCGGGCCGCCCTTCATGAGATGCGAGTGCACCACGTCGGGCGACGACTGCTTGTAGGAATTCCAGAGCGCGTGATTGGACGCCGATTTGCCCTCGCCCGAGAGCTTCATCTCCGCGTCCACGCGCTTCTTCCAGATTTCCACCAGCTTGCGGGCCTTCTTCTGAATTTCCGGATTCTTGTGGCTGCGCAGGTGATTGACCGACTTGCCCACGCTGCACGTCTTGAGCCCGTCCAGGTCCACGGGCAGCTTGTCGAGCGCGCGCAGCAGCGTCAGCAGCAGCTCCTCGACGCCTTTGTCTCCCTCCTTGGGACTTCCTCCGTCCCCCACTTTGCCCTTGTGCGCTTCTTGCAGCCAGTCGTCCAGAATCGGCAGGCCCCCCAGCTGCACGAATCGGCTCAGGCAGTCGTCGCGCTCGGTGGCGGCCACAACCCCAGCAAACATGGCGCGCCTCGCGGCGACATCGGCAGCCTTCCTAATCCCGTCATTATGGTCTTGTTGCATCAACTGAACTAATCGCTCTACGCTCGAGGGATTCTGCAGCCCTCCATCCTTATCGGTAATGGATGCCACCTCTTCCGGCTTCATGCTGCGCTCGCGCTTCAGAGGGCTGCTCTCACCATCCTCGGCCTTCAGTGATCGCTCACGCTTGCTCGGCTCCAAGGTCTGATCCGCTCGCTCCCGCTTCTTCTTGCCTTTGTTCGACACAGCGAAGGTAACATTCTGGGCTACTTCTGAACTAGCCTTGAGCTGCTGCTGCTGCGACGAGGTGGGTCCTGTCAATGATCTAGGTGAAGGCCCTCCTGATTGCACTACTGCCTGCATTTCCAGCTTTGTCCTCTCCAACAACTGGTCTACCTCGTCTTGATGTTCCTGTTTGGGACGACAACATGTTAGACACGGCTCGATGCGCCCCGACACAGCAAACCAACAGCGGCTCGACCGACCCACAGCCCCTTCCAGATCTTACAAACAACTTACATTAGTGTAGTCCCGATCAGTCAGCCACCAAAGGCACTTGTTCGCCGTGTCGTACACCCGTCGACAAACGAACGATGAAACACCTGGAGGCAGCTCGGCACCCTTGCGCAAGAAGGCGACTTTGCAGGGATGTAAGAGCGAGGCGGCTGATATCTCATCCTTGTGAAAAGAGTAGAAGATTTCGTTGGGGGCGGCCTCGAGAGGTACCCCCTTGGCTAGCTTGACATCCGCCGGTCGATACAGCCAATTCACTACGAGCTTCGTGGTATCCTTCTCCTGAGTCACCTTGCGCAGAATGCCGATAAAAGGTGGGCCATTTCCTGCCTGAAATAATGCACAATCCCCGACGCTAAGCTTGCGACCACCCTGCAAGAGAGACATCACCGAGCGCAGATGATGAGCAGACGTCGGATTCGGGCGCACACGACCCCAGGACCAGCAGCAGCAGAAACAAGGGCCTCCGGCGGCCCGACCACCGATTGCAAGCAAGGCAAGAGCCGGACATCTAATTTGCTGCAGAGACAAGGCGTGCTCGGAGGCGTCGGACCAACCCGTCAAACTTGCATCGACGTTTGGGCGAGACTTCCCCTCGAGAGCATTCGATCACAAATCAAAGCGAGAGACAGACAGACAGACAGACAGCCGGGACTGGTTCTAGACCGAGACCGATGCAAGGGACATGCCGTCATGAGCAGGAGGTCAGTCGAAAAGCATAGCCAGCCAGCAGCCGGCCGAAGCGTGAGACGCGTCGGCAGGGGTCGGGCATGGCGCAAACGCAAAGCTCTAAGATGAAAGCGGTTCACAGCGTACTCACCAACACAGTCTAGTATAAGATAAGAAGGACCACGAGAAGGTATAGAGAAGCGCGAGAATTGAGAAACAGGAAGAAGGGTCATACGTCCATCCGCGTCTAAGGTAAAAAATCGCAATATGAAGAAGCTTGAACACATTTTCCCACGGGATCGAATCTGAAGTAAAACAAAGCCGCTTCCTTCCTACCCTCATCAACCTTCAGCCTGCCCTACTACGATGCCCAACAGAGCCATTCGCCATTAAAGTTGGAGATGAAACCAATATACTTTAATTGCTCGCCTCCGCTTCTTCTGCCAGCGGAACGCTTGATCGCAGCTGGGCAACAACAGATGGGATGCGGCAGGGCCTCCGGGTCCCCGAGCGCGAGAGGCTGGCGATCCGAAACACTATCGGCGAGCACGAAGACTTCGTCGAAGGCACACCTCGAAACATCCTTCTGCGGGATAGCATGTACGGGACGGCACCAAACAAAGTTCGCAGGCTCGGGCTGCATATGGCTCCACATAGATTGCGTGCCTCGGGATGAGAAGACCCGCCCTCGCGCCTGTACACGACGGACAGATGTGGACGACGCGCGAACCCCGTCGCTCCCGTTTCCGTATTAGGGCATGACCGCACTAACCCCCGTCTGTGGGGTCGGTCGCCTCCCCCCTCCTCCCGCGGGGCCTCCTCGCCAGTCGCCAGTCGCCAGTCCGCAGTCCCAACCCCCTCCTCTCCCGCTCCCCCTCTGCCCCTCTCCCTCTCCCCCTCTCCCCCTTCCCCCCTCCCCCTGCCACCGGACGACCCCTGCGTTCCCGTCTGAGCTCGGAGCCATCTTTTCTCCACATGCGCACCTCGCAGCAGGACTCGGGGGGAGGGGCTGCGAATGGGGGAAGCGAGCGGTAGGGGGAGGGGCAGGGGCAGTGGGGAGCTTCGGGAGGACAAAGATCATCCCCTTTCCCTCCGCTGGCTTCTCTAGTCGGCTCAAGCCGCAGCGCACGTTGCGGCTCCCTTCGTATTTTCCTTCCTTCCTTGATTCCTTCGCCCGGCCTCTTTTATACTCTCCATGTTCTCTTGCATTTTATTCGTGCTCCATCGGCATTCGATTCGCCAATTATCTACTATCCCGTAGATAATTGTCGATTTCGATGTTCGCTGCGTCTTCTTATTGATTTGACATCTACTGATGATCATATTGAAAATTGTGGTAATCTTTACGTCTACATATGAGTGATCAGTTCTATGTTTTATTTGGATTAACAGCTAGACAATTTTTTGCCATGGAGAATGATATTCACATATCCACTATTGAATTGCTTGTTTCTCATGTTCATATTAAGCTCTCCGATCATGTTCGATTAGAGTCTTTTTGAGAAAATCGAATCCATATCCATGATAATTCATAAACTTCCTCATGTAACAAGGACAAGTCTAGACTAATTTCTGCTCAACGTGTGATCCTAGGTTAGTTTAAATTCGAATTTTTATGTTTCTTTCCATTTTTATTTTTATTTTTTTCTTATTAGTGATCGTCAACATGGAGTAAGTTGGTAGATGAAGGCTGAGTATGAAATTGTATCAGATCACCATACGTCCTATGAGTCAATTTGGCCATACAATGATTCATCGTCAACTTTGATGCAATGGATATCTAATCTAGTGAGACAAGATTTTGAAAGTAACAAAGATGAAAATAACAGAGACTGACAACCATATTTCTGGCTAGTTACAACAACAACACCATTTTCTTTGCAGGCTGTTGCATTCACTATTGGCAACAAAAGTGATATCAATATTTTGAAATATCAACTTTAGAACTCAGTGTGTCTGAAGAGGGTTGATTTATCCATATTTTTTGGGACCAAAATGCAAGCTGTTGAATGTCGAATCAACCCTGCAGTAGAAAAAATCAACTTCGAACTTTCAACTTTTATGAAACAGTATGCTTTTGTCATGGCTAAATCATCACTTACACATGTTTTGCAGTCAACTTGGTTACTGCAAAATTACTTCTTATTTGTAAAATTAAAACATAAATGCATATCTTTCATGTGATGTAAGTTAGATTTGGATGTGTCTATATTTTGTTCAATATACATATCTTTCAAGTGAAACAAGTGCTTGCCTGGATTACTTTTCAGAAGTTTTGGTTAAAGATATCACACATATTTTTTTTCAAAGTACAGTCATGAATCATCGTCTTTATATACTATTAGATGTGTAACATTCATATGTAGTTATTGTGATGTGGAGATTTACATAAATGTGATGACCATCTTCGAAATGAGTACGAGAGAGTGCACAAGAAGTAATCATACTACACTACACATGGTATCACTATATTTATATATGTTGTAAATATTTATATAAGTATTCATGCAAGCTGATGAATTTTTTGGATGCTCAAGTACTACATAAACATAATATTTGAATATCAGGTGACATATGATAATATTATCATAATAATACTATTAGTGCCTAGCTCCATCATCCTCCTCGGTCTCATCCACAAAACGCTTGATAGAGTCTTCCCGTTCTTTTTGCTACATATTTCTTCTTTCATCCATCCCACACACCCAACCCAAAAAAAAAAAAAAAAGAGGAGAAAAAAAAATAGTCACAAAGAGAGATGGCACATTGACCTTATCATAATTTGGGGGCTTTCCGACCTACCCATTCGATTCTGCCCACGAAAGGTTTCGCTTGGAAGAGCTCGCGTGTGCACGAGGGCATGGCCTCCGACCCAAACATTGGCAAGTATTGGTGAGCACAACATTGGGACTTCTAAATAATTTCCCTCGGACTTTCCCATTCCTTCGTGTAAAAGTAATCCATGGACCGAAGCTTAGGAACTTACTTTTTTGGGTCGTTTCGAGACTTTGGAAGCTTGGAGGTCACCTCTAATAATCTGCCCTTCCTGTCGGTTTTACGTCCACAGGTATGGGATTCTCGGTCATGGCCATATTTGCAATTGATGGTGGCGAGCTTCCGGTCTAATCTCGACTTTAAACAACGGAGTATTTCAACGCCTGATTCCCGAGCAGATGAATTCGTTGGTGAGGCAATGGTGAGATTTATGCCCCGAATTCATGCGTCGGACGTTCGAAGACCGCCACGAAGGGAGGGGCACCGATCAGCCAGCCACGGCCGAGGCTGTGGATCGATTGTCAACGACGACGCATCCAGTTTGTGCACCAGGTTGACAAACGACAAGGGCCGAGCGTGACCGAAGAGATTTACCAGAGCCGAGGGATTTTCTCGTCAGTCAGTCCTCTCTCACGCAGCCAGTAGTAGTAAGTAGAAAGTAGGCCCATCGACATCGACATCGACATCAGTTCATTCTTCTTCTTCTCTTCTCTACCTTGGTCAACAAAATTACGGCTGACGTTGATAGCACGCCATCCTTTCCCCCCTGCAAGCCATCACAGTCCATAATTGCCCACGGATTAGCCGGGCCTTGGGAGACACTGCTTGCTGGTTGCTGATGTAGTGCCCTCCTGTGACAAGAAATTGCGGCCCACCGAAACCTTCTGCCTTCTCTCCATGCCAAGAGCGCCGAGGCCCAGCTCACTCACTTCAACTGAACTGAGCTCAGCTGAGCTGAACGGAACTGAAATGAACTGGAGGGGACTGGACTGAAGTGAAGAAGGGCAGTGACCATCTCCAGTTCACTTGAACTGAATTCAACTGAGCAGAGCTGATCTGAGCTGATCTGAGCTGAGCTGAACTGCACTGCTCTGTACTGCACTGTCATGGACTGGACTGAAAAGAAGAAGGGCAGTCAGTGACCACCGAGGATTGCAGAGGTTGTGTCAGACTGCACCAGTGGCTTTCCCTCGAGTGGAGATGTCCTTTGTCTCCAGTGGAGAGCGCAGCGTGTTGATTCTGTGAGCTGATGTGACGAGCGAAGCTCAGTGAAGTTCCTGGAGCGGACTTTCGGATTTGGACTGTAGTTGAGCTTGCCCTTGTCAAGGAAACATATGGAAACGATCACTATGCAAGGAAGTACTGACATGCGTATGACAGGGAAATCTTTGTCCACTTGACGCTAGATTTGTACCACTTGCTCTATGTGGTGTTCATGTGTTTGCGTTTATGCAAGTTGATGAGAATGTTGTAGGTTTGACTCATGAGGGGAAGAAATCAAACTTGCTAAGCACGAGAATTCCATTACACATGCCAAAGATTCAACCTCGTGCTCTCCTCACTTATTTCATCTACTTGATTCAGTTTGCAAAGATTGAAGAACTTGCGACATGTTATGGCAACCTCATCAGCCGTCTTTTCAAGCACCACAAGGAATCAGTTGTGTATCTAGACAGTTGTGAGTCGAAATACTCCAAATGGAGTTGTGAGCCCTATGCAGAAGGTATTTACAAGTCCATTTGGAGCATAGTTGCGACGGCCTTACACTATATCTGTGTTATAATGTTAATCAAACACTGAATCGAAATAACAATATTTCGATGCAAACGTTCTAAAACAAATATGTTAAAGTGTACAGCAGGGTGAAAATGAAATCAAATTTGCATCAGATAGATCATTAGAGTTTACTTTGCGTTAAACTGGTACAAAATCCAAAAGTAGTATTGGACTTTAACATTACTATTCAATGTTATTAATTGACTAAAATTGCCTACGATGATATTTTGCAGAGCTTGTTAATTTTTAGTGAAGACGAAGTACTTGTTAAGCTAAGCAGTCGAAAATTGAACAAAAGGCAGATTGAGATAATAAAATGTTCATAACTTCTCAATGTTGTGAAAAACAAATGTGTGTTGACGGTCATATGTTGCAGTGACAATTGTATTTCAACATTCACGAATGGAAAAATAATACTCCGAAAGTGCAAACTCTTTTCTCACCAAGTCATTTATAATATTGAAGGCTTAAGCAGTATATGTCGCACGAATTTATTATCTGTAGGCCTCAACAAACGAACATCCTCTCATCTTTGGGCAGATCTGTTTCATTAGCTATAAAGTATAATTGAAAATATATGTCAGTGATATAAAAGTCATAAAGATGTTGCAGGTCATTCCCTTTGATTTCCTCACACCGAATCAAGCAAAATTCTTTCCCGAAGACATTGTCAAGGCTACCATCATCACCATGTGGATCGGTGAGGCCAAAGTTTGTCATCCAGACGATCCAGAGAAAGTAGCTAACGGAATTTTTGGGGGGACCCTGGGCAAACCTTCGTCCTCGTGCATGGCGCTCGTTAACAATCCCTCTCTCGGGTGCCAACTTCTTCGACGGGCCAGGATAAAACAAGAGGATGAAAAGAATGCGTACGGCTTAACAGTCGCATCACAACAATTTCGTAAGGGACAAATCGTGGCACCGCTGGACTCCCTGCCCTATGAGAGAGAGGTGCGGTGCCGCTGAACAGCTGCGGCTTGGGTTCCCAGCTGTTTGCCCCTTCGGCCCACACTTGGTTGGAATGTCGAAAGGTCGCCTCGCCCCAGACACACTGAACCGTTTGGCCCGGCCATTCCATGGTCACACTCGCTCGAGCACACAACAACAAACCTTCGAGCTCCTCGGGAATCGCAGAATGCAGAATGCAGCTGCGGCGTGAGGTGGGACTGTTCTCTACGGAAGAAGAGAGCTGCTCTCTCTTTCTCTCTCTTGGTTTGAAGTCGCTGCACTTTCTGCTGACGTGCGAGCATCACCGGTGTGTCACGAAATGTTTTCAATCACTCCGCCGAATTTTTACGCTACTATTTATGAGTTTACAAATTTATAGAAACTCAATGACAGGAAGTCGCAGTTCTTCAGGCAGCTGAAATCCCAGCAAGCAGCTCTGTGTGAAGCTCCAGTGTATATTTATCCGGGTGGGGACTTTGGCACCGACTTGTGACCTCTTATTTTGGAAGTGATATCGTACTGTACTTCACTTGGATGGTATTACTGGCAGTGGAAGAAAATATGGATATGGTGTCAGCCGTGGCGGTAGAGAGTATTTGCCAAAGAATTCTTCTTAGATCGACATAATCGGTTGAATCGTTGGCTTATGTCACAATTCACCATAAACAGCTCCAACCTTAAGCTGTGCTAAACTCATGTCAGCCCCGATGGATATCTCCAATTCTCTTTAATGAGGTCTGATACACAAGCCGATAATGACCCACCGATCCGTTCCGCAGCACACAACAGTACCCGTCTATAGTTCTGGATCTTTCAATTCTGAATTAAGAAAACCTTGCCTCAATTCGACGGACTCGAGGTCGCAGTTTCTCGATACATGAGACGCTCATTCAGCCGTCGTGATCGAAGGTCGAAGGATAGCCATGAATTGCCCTCTGACTAGCAAGCGGTCGGCCGAGGTCCATTCCATCACATTCCGTCGTTTCGAGACAGTAGACATTCGCCTTCACGAGGGAGAAGAGTGTGCTCATCTTATTCGGCGAGCAATCCGACTCGACTGTAAGTTCGATGATGTCCTGTCCCTGGCTGAACAGGACGAAGATGGCCGAGACAAATAATTTAGATGAATGACAGTTTGTGTCAATCATCCTACACTTAAGTCGTGATCTCTCTCTCGTCGCTGTCTCAGTACGGAGTGAATTATGCGTTTCCATGAAGTGACTGACGTTCTTCCTGTGGGTCGATTTCTCATGAATGTGCTCAAAAATGAGACTGTAGACTCTGAACTGAGTCCTCGTTGCGAAGAGATTAAAACCTGCAGCTCTCCAGAAGAGCTATGTCATCAAAATCTCGGCCGCAGCTCAACAGAGCATGAAATGCGTTGCCTCCGCTTGCCAGAGTACCCTGTACCTTTCCAAGAAACAGCTGAAACCCATCCAATCCACCTGTAGGTTCGCTGGGAGTCTCCCGAGTCCTTCAAACGCATCTCGCCCCGACCCTGAGCTTGATTGGTCTCGTTTCAAGTCATGCATAAGATCGTCCGCCATCGGCATAACCAAGAGCGTCCATGACACGAGAATTGCTTTCACGGCGAAAACGACTAGTCAGATTCCCATCGTCTTGAGCATGCTTTTCGGGCCGGCCTAAACCCGCCCGCCCTGCCACTTCGTCTACCTCAACAAGAGCCCGACGGTTCGTTAACAACGGCCTCGATAGCAACAAGAACCGCAAAATCCCTCGCGCGCGCTCGGATCCTGTTCCTGCCACAAATTCGTACTCACGGATTGTGTCACACGTTCTTCGTTGACAGCGACGCCAGGACAAGATGACTCCAAGGCCGCGGGGTGCAACCATGACGGAAAGTACGCAGCTCATGTCAATCACTCGATACCTGCGCACGCGATCCGAATCGAATTGCTAAAACAGAAAGACTGGCAGCAGATCGGTCAAAGCTCAACCGATCTCGGAGCTGCTCTCGACTCCGGCTCCCTCTCTCCCTCCCTCCACGAGCGCGCCATCGTTGCCAACCGATTCCCCGTGACGGTGCCATAATAATGGACATCGCCCCCGAACCGAATCATCAGAAATCGATCTACACGCAAATGCGCCCCCGCAGCCCCTGGCCACGCGGATCCGGGTGCCCATATGCGACGACAACGACGACGACGACGACCCGAACCTTCGCTTCGCTTCGCAGCCCCAAGAAGACGACATTCTCGCCCGCTCTCGAGTCCATGGGCTTAAATAGCCACACGTCGATCCGCGCCTTTCGAGCCGGTGCCTCCACGCTACCCCCTCCCGCCATCATCTCCTGGCTCCGATCCTTGGACCATTTGAGCGGCAACAGCCCCAAGCGGAGCTGGATTGAAGGCGGCCCGCAAGCGCCAACCCCCCGAGATTAAAAGCCGGGCAATCAACTGTCCGAAACGGGCCGATCGACGACCAAGGGCCGGGTGACGTCCGCCCGGCCGGGGAATGACGGGCCGCCGACCGACGCTGGCGCATGATTTGGCGCCTCGTCTCGCCGCGCCGCGGGAACCTGAGGTGGAGGCGGTGGCCAATTATAGAGGAGTCGACGAACGGACGGATGGCGTCTCCGTCGACCCACGAGCCGACGGAGATGTCTCATCAGCAGCGTTCGTGCGGAGACCGACGGACTGGCGGGCTAGCTAGCTAGACTGGGTGGCCGCGTAGCCCGCCGGTCGATTCGAATTTGGACTCCGCTCCAGGCCCGGCGCGGTCAGAGGGGGTTCGCTAACGGGGCTCGCTCAGTCCGTCAGCGCAAGCGATCGTTGCAGTGGCAGGGGCAGGGGCAGTGGCAGGAGCAAGGGCAAGGGCAGGGGCAGGGGCAGGTGCCGTAGGTTCGTTCCGTGGGTCGAGTCGAGTCGAGCGGGGGGCAGGCCCATGGACGAGGAAGAAGGAAAGGACCGAGGACTGAGGACTGACAGAATCTGACACCGGCGACAGAATAATAAAAAAAGCAGAAGGCAGGGCCGAGGCCATTGGAGGTGCGCTCGCGCACTCTGAGCGACGGTCGAGAGGGCGTCGATAGTGGCCGAGATTGGTGAGAAATGATGGCCCGAGGCGAAGAAAAGAGAAGGCGAGCTTTATGACGAGATGAATTCCTCCTACATGTCGTCAGAGCGAGGGACATGACGGCAGACGCAGTGCTGGAAGTTCGTGTTTGCCATACCCAATTAAAAATTCCCTGCGGTCAGCTCTGAGTGGGGGTAAACTGACAGCGAGGGGAATTCGCCTCATCAATCCGTTGTCGTTCTTCTTCCTCTGTCCAGAGTTCCAATCTAATCATGGTATTTGTGGCATAGACGCTCGTCGCCCTCCTCCTGCGAGCCTAACCACGAGAGGTATGATGCATCATTCATTTTCTTGGCTGCAGGCAGGCTTCTCCTCCTGAGGACATGGGCCGTTGAAAAGATTGCATTGCGCACTCGTCTCCGGTGATGCTGTTGAGGCTCGCGATGTCTTCGGTCCTTTCAACTCACACGTACTGTGCCCAGGATCCTTTAAGTACCGCACAATCAATAGCCCCAGCCATTAGCTCGGCAATTGAAGGTGCCCTTATTTCCTTCGGCATGATCAGGCGGGTGGATAGCGAGAAGGCCATCCATTGGACTGAAGTCCCGGAGCCCCGTCTAAAGTTGAGGCATTCTGTTTTCTTTCAAGTGTGACATTCGAGAATCAAACTGGAAAATGATCACCTAATTACTGACATGTCTCGAACTCCCCATCAGTTGAAGGTCATCGGAACATGAGCTCGCGTTGAACCTTTCTCGGTCTTATCGTTTTCATTGAAAGATATTTAAGGTCGAGGAGGGGATCACGAAAAAACAAATGCCACTTTGAATCCGAGGGCCGCTTGCTGACCCGCAGTCGCGCCAGAGAAGTGCCATTCATTGCTCGAGGACAAAAAAGCTTATCGACTAAACGTCAAACTTCACCGACAGCTTGGAGCCGGGATTCTGCCGGAATAAAGCCGGAATGTGACCTGTAAGTATGTCCAGTGCCGATTCTTCTTGTCAATCTCCTCGTCTGGCACCAGGCCGGTGGATTCCGAGTAGGTTTCAGCACGACCGCCTCAAATTTGAGGCTCTGGAAGGTGCCAACCACGGATGTTCCCTACTCCACCCTTGCGTCATTGCAGGAATATCTTCTCATCAACCTTTCTTTGACATTACCTCCACAGAACAGTGGCTGAAGCCTGATTCACAACTAGCATCGCCACACCTGTACGACTGAATCGGTAATCATTCTGATGTGAATGCAACCAGACACGTACGGCCATCCGGTCCAGCAAATTAATGGTCGGAAAGCGAGCGGGACCTTTCGTATCAAGTGCCACTTTTTAATTCTTTCAAACGCAGCCCCGAATGATGCAGCGGTGAATCAATGGAGCAGCAGCAGCAGCAGGGACTGAGGTGATACAATTCGCAATAAGGATATGCGCAAGTCCACCAGTGGCAAGGTCCGTCGAATTAGGATCATCCAATCACGTCATCATTCCAGAATGTGGTGATCTCACCAGCAAATCTGATCGGGCCGAGCATTCTTCCATTCGACCGAGTCTCCATCTGCCCATTCTATTAATGTTGAAGAATATCGGGCACATGTTTCGTCATCACTGAGACGAGAGAGATGTTTGCCTTCTGTTTGGAAAATCAACGACCTTGTGAATGCAGTGCAGGCTGTACTTTGATTAATTCATCATTACCACTTCGGTCGATTAGCAGCGCAGTCGACAAATATATCGTATTCCGCCATGATCATTATTGGTGGAATCTATAACTCTTGTAGCAATTACTTCTTTATCATTGTGAATGTAAACAAATAGAAAATATTCACGTATTATTCTTTTTACTTGTAAACTCTACAGAAAAAATATTGCAATCTCATTCTTTTTCCTCGTAAATTAATGACAAGATTTTATTAGAATATGATTTACTTCTTTAACTAAACTTCTGGAATGTCAAATTACATTCCAGTTTGCGCGAGATATATTAGAAATCAAATATCTACAAGACAACGTGACCAAAATCAGAGATCGGAGTAAACTTAGGTGAGACAACGTAATACACTAGGCTTGATATTGGGAAAAATACAAATCAGTGCATATGTTATAAATCAGTGGATGACGTTCGATGACATAATTTCTTAAATTACCGGCTTGTCTTTCAACAGATCTTCTTACAAATTCATAAAGAAAAATTTGCTATTCAAAATTTCAATCAAACAAGGATTTAAAAGAATTTAAAATTTCGAATCAACTTCATTGAGCTTAAAATTGGCGCTACTGGATACAAAAAAAGCTCTTCAAGGAAATAAGAGTGACAAATATCTAGATCAGTGAATTGATTTTTGATAGATAATACTGTTTCATTTGGAAAGTATGGTGACAGATATATGTGTTTAGATGTGCCAAGAAAATTGTTTTCTGCTCTAAGCTGTAAATAAAAAACGCAACTGGTATAGTTTAACTAGTAAGTTTTGTAAAATGGTTCAAGCATTTATAGCAACATTTTTTACATAACACAGTTTTAGTATATTTTAATCAAATTCCGAATTTAAAAAATAAAATCGAATTTGAAAGGAAAAGATTTATTTGGAAAAAAAGATATCGGTAATCACTCATTGATGAACAGAAATCTGCCTGAATGGTAGATAGGTATGCAAGGATTTCCAATAATTTTTATAATCTCATATAAAAAAAAATTTCTTTTTCTTGTTAAATTAGATGATCAAAATTTAGAGAAATGGATCTTCACTCACAATCTACAAAGTTTATAATCAAAGGATCTTATCTTAAAAATCATTAATTGAGTGTGCTGGTGTAAATTCATATTTTGGAATTAAATTACATTAAAATTATTTTGAAATGTTGTTATCAAATTCAAATTTCTTTTATCTGAAGGAATATTTGTTTTGATTCTAAATCGAACTTCGAATTGCATCAAATACTCAAGCTTCTTCTATAAAAGATTTTCTTCTTGAATATGAATGATTACAGATGTTTTAATTTTCAAAGTTATGATAGACTTTTTTTAATTTGGTATACTTTGCATATAATTAATAATAGTTATTTTGGTGTGATATCTTCTATGGTTAATTTTCATCACACATCAATGTGTGATAGTAATAGGTTTGTTAATTTATGTCTAGACCGAGTCCAGCTATTTAGTTTTTGGTCAAATGACACAAGTTCCCAAAATGCATTTGGAATTACTCTGTTGTGTCATAGATGCTTGGGTTTCTCTCTTACTTTCTACACACGAGCAAAATCGAGGTATTAGTTTCCGCACACCAAAAGTTACTTGATATTTATAGTATGAAAGTTGAAGAAATGTGGGGAATTGAATTTATGGAAGAAGCCTGTAAAATATAAAACGAAATATTGAAGTTTATATTACGTTTACTTCAAATCTCTGTATGGATATTTCAAGTCTTCGGAAAAATGTTATACCATGAAATATAGATTCATTGACCATAGGCTTGAAAAGAAAATATCTTGAAAACTTAATGATATCGTTTGAGACTTGTAATACAACGAGTGACGTTTAGTACAGCTGGCGTTGCATCTGTAATTTCTTGACAAGCATGGAGCTATGGAGAAGAAAGTGCCGCCATCTAATCAACGCTAGTATTAGTAATAGACTTATGATAAAGAGAAAGTCAGTTTGCACATTGAGTAAAAAAATGTTCTGAATCATATTAACAAATACATATTATCACATAAGAATTTTACTTATCTCTCCGACAGTTTCAATATTATCAGTGAGGCGTCCTATAACTTGATCATATGAATCTTCTAAAAAATGCTTAAGGAAACAACGAACTCAAAGCCAAGCAAATTTGGGTCACTCAAAAGACCAGATACACGTCCATGCTAACCACAAATGAAGAAATAAATCACAAATGTGTCGTTAAACAATCCCAACCTTTCCTTCATAATCACAATTGTGAGAGCCGGATGACTTGGTTTGAGAACAAGGTCACCGCAGTTGACAAACATCGAACTACGACTAGAGGGAGCGTGGTTAGCACCGGCGGAGCGGAGGATTGCTCAAGTTCTCGACCACGCGCTGATGTGTCAAAATGCATCCGGTGTCATACATGCCAACGTAGCACTGATGCCCGTCTGGCTCTCGCCAAGTTAGCTGGCTCTCCGCCATTCTGACCGAGCCTCGCACAGTCACCGCACCGGACGACGTGGTGAGGGAGAGGCACGGAAGGGGAACATAACCGACAGCTCAGCGGTCACCGGGTGTAGGGAGGGTTCAGTGTGGCCGGAGAGCCGGTTGACCAGGGGGGGTGGGGCTTGGGTTGGGGTTGAGGGAAGGGGAAGGGGAAGGGGAGGGGTGGGGGTTTACTCTGGCTGGAGAGCCGGTTAACCAGGGGGTGTGGAGGTGGGGTTGGGGGAGGAAAGGAGGCACCTACCACGGGGCACGATGGCAGGGGCTTACTGATGGCGAGAACATGGAGGGCGGGGGCAGGGCTGCACTGCCCGAGAACCTGCGGGGGGGAAGCCAATGGCTAGGCGGGGGTGGTTCCGAGGGCCTAGGCGGGGGCTCGCAGGGGACTACGCCACGAGCGTCAGCACATCATTCACAGAAGAGCTTGGCATCTTGCACAGCGAGCGATATGTCGAGCTGCTGATGCTGCGCCTGGTCGCGGTGCAGGATTAGGAAAGCCCAAAATCTTCTTCGCGAGGCCGTGTCGCCGGGTCCAGATTCTGTCGTCCGCAAACGCGAGCTCGGCCTCACCGCCCGGACACGCGCGCTCTCCTCCTCGTCCGCAAGTCCTAGAATCCGAGTCCGAAAGCCACCACGACTCGTAGCCTTTTGTAGCGGTAGATAAAATGCTGTTCTCGCGCGCCCCGAGATCCTCGACGCCACGTCTCGACAAAGCTCCGGTTCCGGCCAAATCCCTTGCTCCTGTTCCTGCACAGGGCGACAGTTGAGATCGAGTAGTGGAGGTGGGTTCGCCTCGTTGCTCGCTCACTCACTCACTCACTTCGACAACCCGCCCGTTTCGTTCGTCGTTCTCCTCCTCCTGCCTTCCCCGATTTCTATGGTCCTCGATTTCAGGGCATTTTTTTAATCCCCTTCCGAGTTCCCAAATATAAAATTGCCCATCACACCACCCACCCCCCCATCCTCCATCACCCCCTCCATATAAACGATTATAAGGTCTACGTCTTTGGAGAGTATTGTGAGCTCGGTGAGAAGACCTCGGCTCTCTTAACTTTTTAGGTCATGGGCTGGATTCCGTTAATGCTGTCTACTCTTTCGTAGAGTGCACATCATGGAGAGTACTTTGGAGCCCTAGCAAGAAACTGTCATTTGGAGACCACTTGGTATGTACAAAATTATATCCAATGTCGTACTTTACTTCGATGGTTGGATTTATTATGTTTAGTGATTGCATTTCAGCCAATTTTGTATTTTCTAGCCTTTCTTTTTCATAAAGTGTGACAGGTTGTAACACTTGGAGCTTATCGACATGACGACAGTTGGTTAGAAAAGTCGCACCGGAGGATTTAAAAGGACATAGCTCGCATGAAGAGGACAAGAGTGGGAAGAAAACATAGATCTGCTTTCCTGCGAAATGAATTTTAAATATGTGGGGGCTTCACGAATAGACGAGGCAGGTTTCTTCCAGGGATCATGAGCTGTCGTGCTCCGTGGAGGAAACTACTACTTGATCCCATTCTGTGGAAAATTGCCAATGCACAACACATCAGAGTCAGAGTTTCACAGGTCAAGGGGTGTTTTCTGGCTGCAAGCGATGGCAAACGTCGGAAACTTTCATCGCCCAAATCAACACAAGTCACCGGCACTTTGGACATGCAATCTTTGTCCCAGCGCATGGGGCAGAGCGGCGGGGGATTCTCACATCTCGTCCGCTTTTTTTGGAACCCGCCATCGAAGGGCCAAGCTCTGAAATTTCATCACGAGAACATTGAATCAGACCTCTGGACAGGTCCCTGAGTATGGATGAACTATGGACGGTAGCAGCTTCTGTCACAAAGAATGCACGAGTATGTGACATGAGTGTCCTATGGAAAGCTCGTTTGCAGCTTCTGCATCGCGAGTTGTGGTCGGACGATCAGCTCGGTTCTCCTTGAGAAAGGTTCAGACACATTGCACGCGCTTGTTGTAAGTGTTTCCGAACACAGTGGATCTCGTTTCTCTCGAGGAATCCGAAGGCTGTCTTTGAACGAGCTATTTATTCACAGCGTGCAGAAATCGAGAGTGCCTGAACGTGATGGAAGAAGCTGCTGAAGTGCAACTCTGCATAGACTGGAAGAAGAACACGGCGGCCAAGACTGGAAGTGGTGTATCTTACAAATTGAGCGGGGGCTTGACCAGAGCAGTAGGACCACTCAGAGCACTCACAGACATAATTAGACAGGAGTGATGTACATGGAGTTCTCTTGGATGACAGGGAGCATGAAAGCTCCACCTGGAAAGCATGCTACCCGCACTGGAAACCCCGTGCGCTCAGAAAAGCGAGTATTCTGACTTGCGGGAACTCTACAGAATGAGGAGCTGATCCTGTTGGATGTTTTGTGTCATGGATTGAGCTTGCCCTGCCCTGTGAATATAGAAGCGTCAGGAGGTAGGGAAATCATTTCGAGGTTCCCGGGACGATTATTGTTATTTTTCGCTGGTAGAGAGACCGTGAACGGGAAGAGGTTGAGGATTCCCTGGTTTGAGGCTTAGCTCTGTACGAAATGGGATGGGGAGCAACACTTATGAAAGTGGACGGCTTCTAGACTGGCTGCTCTGGTTTGTGGTCTGTACTCTGAGGACGATACATGTACAGGAAGATACATGTGCGTTTACACGCGACAGCTGAGTCGCTGTCGGTTTTCTCCAGGTGCATATGAGAAGTCAGCTAGAAGTTGAGCTGACCTTCGTTCCGGCAGGATGATGAGTTTGAGCTCCACTGAGATTTCGGATGCAGAATATCCTTCGGAATGGGGAGATTTACTTTATCTTGACATGGGTACGAGACATCGAATCGCATCACCTCAAAATCACCTCAGCCCAAGTTTAGGCCTTGGTGAGTTCATAGTCATTCATTTGAAGTGTAGGCACATGTTTGTAAGGGTTCTTTTGGGATTCGAGTCGTGATTGACGTGTACAGCGCACAGTCGATTTTGTTCTTTCCCACTGGTCTAGTGTGTAATGTTTTTCTTGCCCTCAGCAATTCACTTCATCAAAGAAATGAGTTCACGGAACAAGGATTCGAAAAGAAGAAAAGATTCGAAAAGGACTGACATCAACGATTAAAAGAGCATGCCCGTGAAAAGAAAAGATCTCAAATGCCAATTTCAGACCGAACGACTTTTGACATGGTCGCTTTGCACCGCAGGAATAATTCAAACTAAAATTCACGTTTGTAGACCTGTGTACTCTCGATGTTGCTACAGAAGTCAAGCTGGTAAATAGCGTGTACTGCTGCAGTCCCTCGCTTTCACAAGGCTGAGCATTGAAGTATGTTTGTGGTTAGTGGTTTCTGCAAGAGTACTGAGTCTTTCTTTCCTGAGGGAAGTTTCCGAAGTTCGAAATTATGTGAACCCTGCTGATTATTGTTGGTATCGTTGTAATGCAGACAACATATACTCTCGATGGTTGCTGGTGAAAATGAACAGTTCGCTTGCGCGTGGAGCCACTGTCCTCGTTGACCCATGTCGGATTTGAAATACACCTGCCACTCCCTTGAAGTCACATTCTTCTACCCAAAACAGTAAGCTCGATAATGGCCACCGCTCTATGCTCTCACGGCTGAGAACGATGGGGATTTAAAATTGCATTGATGTAAGCACATATTACATGGATACACTTAAAGCAAAGTGGATAACCTCTGAGGACATTGAATGGATCCGAGAACTTACACGGGGATCTCTCGTCCCCGTCTGGGTAGTACATGGGGTCGACCGAATGAGTACAAAAGTCTAAACCCAAGAATTTCACACCACAATCAAGCTCGTATGAACGTACAAACGACTGGTTCAAAGGCTCATTGAAGTATGAGATGTCCCTTCTGCAATCTCACCTAAAGCGTGTGAGAGGTCTTCAACCATAACACAGCTCTTGTCTGGCTGGTCACTTGACTCGGCAACTAAACAGTTCATTCTGGTAGTCCTGCATCAAGTTCGGTTTTGCCAGTACATCTCTCTGGAACGGTAGAGCTGAGTGTTCATGTGTTCGATGTACAACCTGTGTGAGAGGATCGTGTTTTGCGGTCTGCATAAGTTAAGAAAACTGTGCAATCCCTTGCAGGTGTGCAGGAAACGAAACACCTTCTGAATTCCTGATCTGAACTGCCTTGTGTCTGACGATACTGACTGGTTGTACGCTTCCTGCCAACAATGATTATAGCACAGTCGTAGTACTTTACTGTACTCGCACGAGACGCTAAGTTGCATAAGCTGCAGATGAATAATCATGTATTTGACTTCTCTACTTCTGGACTTCAGTTGTTTGATTGGTTGTATGTTGACGAGACTGGGTTTTTGATGATCGACGAGAACCCCAGTGAACGAACGGGTTCCAGATTGTCTGTGGAGAATCCCCTGAAAACGCAGGTAATTGACGAGCTATCAGTAAGTGAGACTTTGGAGCAGAAGGGAGTTCATCGGCCTCGGATCAGGTGGAGTGGTGTTGTACCGATCCAACTTCTGCTCAAGAATCGTGAGTGTTGTTCGGACGGAGGTGTATGTGAGTGTATTGCCCATAGAAACGAATGCTGCACTCGGAGGTTCTCTCAAACCTAAACATGTGATACATTGATTTGGCCACCCATCTGCAAATAAAGCTCACCTCTTTGAACTGCATGACTTGATCTCAAATCATGCTGCTCCGCACATCGTACATGTGGGCGTTGGACTTCGCGATCAGACCGTCTGCACACCTGTTCGGACCTGCTGTGCAAATTGTGACTGGGATCTATATGAATGGCTTTTATGCGTCAGTGTCTGGATATTAAACAGGAGATATACGAATCGTTTCTGTCAAGGGTTTTTTCTGCAATACAGGTCCTCTTCTCTCTTCAATCGTTCCAGCTCTGACCGTACAGAGTGACTTTTAGATTAATGATTGTCTTGATGAAATCTTGGACTTTAAGATGTAAGATTCAAGAGCTTCGAATACAGAGAGCTTCGAATACTGCATGTGTGTACTTCAGCAGATGAAATAGAATAGAACAGCTATTCAAAGATGGAACTCTGATTGATCGCTTCGCTTCGATGTCCGAAGACTGATTTCCGGATATGGCTCGAACTCAAGTCATGCTGCTCAAAACCCTAAAATTGACAGCACCTCGCAGGAATTGTCAACACAGTGTAGCCTTGACCTTGTGCCTGCCGCAGGCACAAGGTCAAAAGGAGAGGAGTCGTTCCAAAACATATCACTGCGCATTGAATCGATCAATCGAAAATCGGATGAGGAAGCAAGCATGTGTCCGTCTGTACACAGCTCACTGTCTGCTCCGCTGGGAAGGGTCGAATTCTCGCTAAGAACTGCATCAAACGACACCGCAGCTTTTATAAGAAAACTGTTCTGAGCATCTAAATTGAGCACGAAGAATTCTGACAGTCTGGAAAACGAAGAGGATTCGAGCATAAAATAGAGAACGAGGTCGGGAGGAAGGACATGAAATGAATCGTCCGAGGGCTCGAAGAGTCTTCGTCAAACGATGCAGCTGTGGAATGAGAATGTTGTAAGATTCCATCTTCCGAAAACCGGCAATTGCCAGTCGCCCCGGGCCACTTCGCCAGTCACGCCGGTTGGTAGTCCCGCCGGGGATCTTCCGAATGAGGACGACAGCGTTGACCTGGAGACTGACTGACTGACGGACTGTTCCCGCCTTGGGCTTGGGCTTGGGGTTGGCCAGGTGGCCGTGCCCGCTCCTCAGCCAATGGGACGGCGTCTGAAAATATCTCGGCCCCGCGCCCAGCTGGCGCGGCCGCCGCGCTCGTCGTAGTGACTGGAGCGTCTGGAGGGTCCCCTCCCCCTGGAATCTGCGACATTCTCCGTGCGCAAGTCAACTTTGCAGGGCGGGGCGAGGCGGGGCGCTCTCCCGTGGTACGCGGTACAGAGAAAGTCAAAGCTAGAGGGAGAGGGAGAGCGAGAATCGATCTCGGTACGAGCGTCTGTGTGTGTCTGTCTGACTGAGCAGGAATGTGAACTCCGGCCTCTGTCTGTCTGGCCTATGGACGCTCAACCATCCACGATGCCTCCCCTCTCTCTTTCTCTGGGTGCTCTTGGAGCTGCGACTTTCGTATATCCATTCCCAACCATGGCCCCCGCGGCATTTTTCACGACCTCCTTTGGAAGCGAACCTTTCGCTCGGTTCATAGTCAACACGTGTGCTAGGGAAGCGATTGTTTTCCAGTACGTGGATTGATGATTTGAAGACGAGCTACCTCAAGGACTAACTAGTCTTCCGAAGATTGATTATGTTGTTGTGTGTACGATGGTCTTGGGGATACGCTTCTTTTGACATTGTTGTTTGGTGTGTGTGCAGTGTTTTGTGAGGGGTAGTGGAATTAAATGTACTATAATTACTTCTTCCTAGTTGTGTCGTGAGATGTTTTAGTATCGAAGAATAAGGGTGTATAAAATTAATAAATTTTTGTAAAATTTAATGCAATAAAATTTAATATTTAGTGAATTTAATTATTGATACGTTGACTACTGTGAAATGATTTCATACAACACAAATATCACGTGAAAATCTCTAATAGAGACTTGCAGTAATATACATCTCATTAAAATCAAATGAAATTCTATTTATGTGGCCTCATTAACATCGAGTTAAACACTAAAACCCAATAAAATTCCACCGGATATAACATCGCTCTGGCAGCTTTGTGAAGAATTGACGGGGTCATAGGCATAGGGTTTAGGACAAAGAGCCATCTTTGTCGGCCTTAAAGAGGTGGTTTCGGGCATCGCCGATGAATCAATCGGCTCTGCCTTTCTTCAATGTCCAAAGTGTATATCATCTTCTTTCCGAAGTGTATTTGAGGTTGTGGCTTCGATGCTTGTGTTCTTCTGCAATTTATCTTGCAGTAAGAGTTCGCACATGCTCATGAAATCAATCAAAAGGGCTTGCAGGTGTACGTTGGAATGGACGAGGGATAATTGATTACTTGTGTACGGCGTTGGGATGGTATAAGCTGTAGTCTCAAAGTGCTAGTAATGCAAGATGACGTGCACTTTCGATTGATGCCTATGGGACCTTCGACCTAGCAAGAATGGAAAATGGTAAGTTGGATGTTTGCTGGATGAATAATACAATATGCTCAAGCATAGGACGTTCTTCGTGGTGGCTTGTCAGGATGGGTTCGGCAACAGTTTTGCCGAGAAGGTGGAGTGAATTGGGTGAATAGGAAGAGGTGACCAAGTAGCTTGTTGTGGCACGAGGCTAGTAATTTTGCTCCAAGAGCAGATGGTTTGCCACGGATTTGTTTGGAAGTGCCTCAATACCAGTTGACGGATTACACCAGTTGCACCTTACATGGCTCACATGTACATCAGATGTGCATTGTCCTCCAGCTAGATATTATTCTGGAATCTGAATAAGGTCGGGAAGTTGACCTTTGAAAGGCAGTGAGTAGATTCTGACAGTTGTCGGGATGACAATGGCTCATGTCATGAACATTAGTCAAATTCCAACGTGAATCTCATGTGAATGTTTAATGGACAAAAGCCGAGAGCTACTCGCAGACGTGATATTGTACAATAAAAACGACAAATGTGAAAAAAGTGTGCGGGATGTATGGACGTCGGGGCTTAACCCCCTCTGGAATGGGGAAAATCCCCCGAATGGAGCCGGATGATAGCACTATAGGATGATCACTGCCTAGCGTTGCTATGCGTGCGCCCTCCGTGTGCCGTCCCGAAATTGGCCCACACGAATCAGCCTTGCATCTGCTGTCATCTTTTTTGGACTTCTCATGGTTATTGCCTATGCGATTTTAGACCTCGTGCATGCTTCCGTCATATTGCTTCAGCCTACACTTGTCTGACCATCAACTCCAAAGAGCTTACGGAGAATATCAGAGTCACCGGAAAGGAGTGTCCAAAACTGGATAAAGTGGTGAGAAAGACGTCCCTGCAAAGTCTGTGACCTGCGCAGCACAACTTTACATTCGCAATTTTGAATCAATGGAAAATGTGCACTTCCTGTTCGACAATCCTGAGACTAGCGAACTCTGGGGCGCCCCAAATTATTTCCTTCAGTTTAGAAGGCCTTCGACAGTACGAACCATAACTTCTAGACTTATCGAAATCGAAGATAATGTTTTTATTTTCTCACAGCATTGAGCAATTAGGTTTCGATGAAGCCAGCCTCGTTGAAACACTGAAGACGGTGATTAGAGAAACGGGTGGTTCCAACTGAATCCCGTCATGAGTAGTTTTTAGTGGCACCTGAGACACAGCATTCACCAAAGTAGAGAGCAAAACCAATGATCATGAATTCTCTCCCCGATCCTGTGGTAAAGTACATGAAATTATTAGCTACATCATTGACATGTGGTACTGATTCCACACATGTTAGCTCTATGCTGATTGGCTTCAGAATGTACGCACAAGCGGATTCTAAGCAGCAAATTGCATCTAGCTCATAACAAGACTTTCTCGATTGCAGGTGCATCTTTCGTATCATATTTTCTAGAGACGAATCTAGAAGGATAGTTCATACCTGTCCCAGTTATGGTTGAAGTTTGCCAACAGTTTTAGTTTATGAAAACCATTATCTATATGAGCAAAAGGAGAAAGTATCAGCAGCTCTGTCCATCATTCATTAAGTTCAATGATAATAGAGGCTCTTAGCACACTTTTGGCTAGATCAACCCCGACCGCATCCCATTCGTGCTTATGCAAGGGTACACCGTTTGTGGGTCACCATCACCCAAGGTTTCATAGTCACAGCTTTAGCATTTTGCGCGCTCCCTCTCTTACTCGTCCGGAATTTTTGTGCCAATTCTTCATGAAACTTTGCAGTTCGCAAGCAAGCCAAGATTCTGTATGCGAATAACAAGAAACAAGAGTGCGGGTTTTGAATACACGGTGTTTACCATATCTGGCTCCCGGACAATCAATTCCACCCGCACTCGTACAGATCGCATCTTGTGGAGATTTCAAATCTTGTGGAGGATTCTTTCAAAGCTCTCTTTGAAGCTCTTTCATGAGGTTGTGTGTTCAATGTCTTCTATGTTAGACATTGTTTATGTTTAATTTCTAGGTTTAGTAAGTCGGATTATGACAAGGAATGAAAACAAAGTCAGTAAAGTGATACTTTCATAGCTTGTGAAAAGTGCAAACAAAGAAAACCGACGTTGGAGTTTTCACCCCTGACTCGTTCGCGCATTTTCCAGTTTGCAGTCTAGATCTCATGACACCTCCAAGTCACAATTCTTTCACTTCTACTCAGTGCGTTATCACGCTGCAGGAGTGTTGCGAATTACAAAGGCGCTTGTGATTGCCTTGTTGTTGTTGAAACTGCCGTAGTTGAAGAAGACAAGTTTTGAGATTGAGGAGTGTAACAATTTATGATCAGCCGTACCTAGTTGTTTGAGAATATCTATAGTAACTTAAGTGCCGATGTTTTCAGAATTACATGCATTAAATGCACATGAGAATGCATCTCAGCTGAATGGCCTCATTGAGTTATCATCATATCTTCTTCATATGATCAACGTCGAAAGCAAATTTATATTGGTGAGAAAATATATCATCATAGACTGACTGTTATTCCAAATAGTTCATTTTTTATGTGTCTCAAAATCAGATATAAGAATTGACCAGATCAGAGGCTGCTATTT